AACATATTTTGCTCATTTCATATATAGGGCACCAAGGAGACCATATTGAGGGGAATAAACAATGGGATGAAATCAGACAGCATAATTACTCCAGATTATGCTTTACTTCATCCATTTTGGTGAAGTTTTGGCTGAATTCTGTTTCCGAGGAATTGAGTTCAAATGCAACTTTTGGTCTATGTGCTGGCCATGGTTTAAAACACCATCTGGCCAAATCTGGACCAAAACAGTTGAAATAAAGCACGATCTGAAGTAATAATACTGTCTGATTTCATTCCCATTGTTTATTCCCCTCAATATGGTCTCCTTGGTGCCCTATATATGAAATGAGCAAAATATGTTATTTTTCATTTTCGACTTTTACATCATGTATTGGCCAGCCTTTTGGCTTAAAACTGTTCAAATAGCTCAGAGGAGTTAGTAGGAACCTTCAGAACATGATCTATGGCCCTGTGGTATGGTGAATATGGTGAACAAAAATCTAAAACAAAATCACCTTAAACCATGAGTTATAGGCTTCCCTAGGTGACAATTGCTCACTTTTCCAATACAACTACATGATCCAATCCCTAAAGGTATGTTTTGGATATATCAGATCATGGAGGAGTGCATAATAGGGTCAGAGTGCAATTTCCTTGCATGGCCAAATCACAATGTTCTTCATCACCAGGAGCTGATATATGACCTGGAAGGTGTCCTTGTAGCCTAGGGGAACAAGTGGGCACATTTGAAAGCCATTTTCATTGGTATATCCTCAAGATATTGTGGCCAGAATATAATTTAACAATTTTCGCCATTTTCACTCTATTATTGCACTATAATAGGCTCTACTGTGCTCCAGTTGGCTACAAAGAACCTATAAAAGCGTGCCTATAAGGCTGGATTATGCAAAACGATTGAATTATGAGCCAGGGAGGGGTTGATGTCGATAATTTCCGTTTTGGGACAAGAAGTGGTAGTGTCCAAAAAGGAAATGTACCCTATACACCACTCACAGCAGTACCCTGTACCCCGAGCAAGTGACAATGTACCCTGTACACCATGCACAACTGTACCCTGTACCTTATACACCACATCAAAAAAGATTGCCTTTTTTATGATGTATTGGCCAACTTTTCAGCTCAAGACTCTTCACATAGCACATAGCTCAAGGGCCCCAATAACAACCTTCAGACCACCATCTATGACCCTGTGTCATTTTGAATAGGGTGAACAAGAGTATAAACATTACATGGTGTGTCCTAAGTGTCAATTGTGCACTTTTTCTACTATACTTACCTGATACAATCCCAAACACATTGTTTTGGGATATATCAAATCATGGAGGAGTGCACCATAGGCCTAAGGTGAACTTCCCTTGCATGGCCAAATTGGAATGTTTTTCATCATCGTAATCTTGCACACCACCTGGAGGGTGGCCCAGTAGCCCAAGGAGACAAGGGGAGGTATCCAGGTATGCATTATGGTCAGAACACAACTCATTAATTTTCCCCCCATCAGTGCACTGTAATAGGCTCTGCTGTGCTCCAGTTGAAGATCATACGAAATGGTTGACTTATGAGCCTAAGAGCGACTAATGTTGGTAATTTCCTTTTTGGGACAAGAAGTGCACAATGTACCTTCCTACCACAGTTGTGTACCCCCCACATACTGGTGTGTCTACCCTAATACCCCGTGGACCACCCGAACCACTGACCGGTACCCCAAAGGGCCCCGGTGTACCCTGTACACCACCCACACCACTGACCTGTACCCCAAAGGACTGCGGTGTACCCCAAGTACCACCCACACCACTGACCTGTACCCCAAACGACCCCGGTGTACCCCATACACCGTCCACACCAATCACCTGTACCCCAGACGACCCCGGTGTACCCCCTGTACCACCTGAAGCACTGACCTGTACCCCAAACGTCCCCAGTGTACCCCATTCACCGTCAACACCACTGACCTGTACCCCAAACAACCCCAGTGTACCCCCTGCACCCTCCACACCGACCACTTGTACCCCAAACAACCCCTGTGTACCCCATGCACCGTCCACACCGATCACTTGTACCCCAAACGACCATGGTGTACCCCAGGTACCACCAATGTCACCTTCCCACCACTGGTATGTCTTAAAAAGTAGACTTGTACCCCGCTGGGTACCCTGTGGAGTGGTGGAGTCCCCGTAGTGGGGACCCCTCGCCAAAAAAGGTCTAATTAGACACTTCTTGTACCCCCAAGAAGTGTCTACTTTGTTTGTCTTTCCGGTAGTGGCAGGTGCTGTAATGTGGTTCCCAATACCAAGGAGAGCGCAGGCAACCTGTTGACCAGAGAGTTCTCAGCGAGCACTGATCTGATTGAGTGTCTTGAGAAGAAGTTTCCGGCACCGTTCTTCATCATCCGACAATGGGCCATACTTCTCTAGAGCCTTGGTTGCCGCCGCGAGAGCACTCATGATGACAGCAGACGATAAGTCCAACTTGGCGGCAAAATCTGCAAAGGCGATCACGATCCTCGGGGTCGAGGGACATCATGGAAAATGGAGTCTTCTTGTAACATGTGTCGTTGTGCTCATGAACTTGTCCAGAAGCGTCGAGAATCTCCCGCAGAAATTGAGGCCAAGTGACATCGAAATTGGCACCGTCCGGGTGAGGTGGACGGTCCATCAAACATTTATTTTTGGCGGCTTTAGTTGGAGCGTCAACCGAGTGGGTATCGGAAGGCAGATCATGTTCTATGATGCTTTCCATCCAGCTAAAAAGCCGTTGCTTGAAGTCTGCGTCTGCCATAGCTTTTTCTTGAACAAGTCTTGGGGACAGGGCACCTAGTTCACGATCTAGAGGTTAACGAGTCGCTGGCTTTATCGGGGACAGGAAAACTTGCCTTCGAGCCAGATGAGAATGTGAAGATGGAGGGAACCACGATTCTGTGCTTCTAACACACCATAATAATGTTTAACGCGACCAAACACTCCTCGTTTACAATCTCTTTCAAAACCTAGGAAGACATCGGTGAATTGGCAGACCATGAGCTGGAAAAATTCTGCTCCGGCTACAGGGTTTGCGGCGAGCGAGCGCGCACATTGAAATGAGGTGAATCAGGAGTCCAAGTTGCCGAAGAGTGCATCAATGTCGATGTCATGTCCGGCCATAAATGTCGAGAGCGGGTTATATGTATCGGCCGGATTCAGCGTAGCAAAAAGGGATATGGTTCCTTTACAACGGCTAATAGCTTGAATTTCCTCCCGCATTATCACTACTTCCGAGTTGGAACCTTCGATGTGGTCGCTGACATAGTCAACATATCGCAAGAGTTCGAAGACGGCCGATTCTGCCGGGGTGGTGGGGATGTATTTTGAATGATCTTTCTTCGCCTTTTTTCGCAGTCATAGCCGCAAGAGTATCATCATCAATTTTAGCCATGGCCGACATGGCCTTTGGCCACCACGCTCAACGAACTGCCAATCGAGATTGGGAAGCAGATTTCCGAACCATTTGGATATTGTGCATTGCAAAAGGGAAGGTGAGATGGGTTTGAAAGCGTTGGTCTGCAATTTTCAAGTAATGCTGAACATGCGACTTGAGCACAATCAGCTTAAAACCCGACTGCTTCTGCATCCGAATCGGATCTTCGAACATTCCCACCCCGAACGGAAACAATGTTGGCCACAGCATGCCATATACATTGGGGTTGTGGCGCGTTGACAGAGTGTCAGATGTGGTGGAGGTTTTCGCAAACCCCGCTCCGGCCTTGAGTAGACGTAGAGCCTGAATTTTCCGGTCATTCAGTGCTTTCTCGGTGTTATCGACATCGAAGGTGCCTGCGACAGAAATTGGAATTTGACCGTCTGTCCCTGTATGCTCCGCAAATATGGCTTCCATTGTATCGATACCGTGGCCAGTATAGGTGGCATTCTGCCCGCGAATGGTATTGTTTGCCAACTGATGTTGAATCAGAAACGGGACATGGCCGTCATCGTCGCTCGGATACTCAGCGAGAGCATCGAGGTCAATAACAACATCGCGGTAAGGGGGATTGTTGGCTTTCAACCAATTGAGTGCTCGGAGGATGTGCCCTCGACGAACAAGGAAAGGAGTTCTTTTGAACATCTCGGGGGTTGCTTCTTGGTCCTCCGAGACAAATATCACAACAATCTGATCGTACAGCATGGACATGGGACGTGGAAGAGTGGTTGCAAGTATGGTAATCTTGTGTGGATGCACACATTTACAGATGCGGCTCTCTGTCGAAGAACGCGCGGTCCGCATGAGCCTTGGGAATATACCTCCTGCGCTCGCATGCCTTACCTACGCTGAAGAACTGGTAATTGCCCGCGCCCACACAACAAAATGCTGGGCAAAACTTAATGCAGGATGCGGACCATGTCTGACGAGCTGCCTGCTACTGAACCATCATTTGCTTTGCGGCGTTTGGGAGTCGGACGATCTGAGAGGTCTTTGTCGCCTTTGCGCTTCTTGGAGGAAGACTGCGACATGGTAGTCGTCGGCAGGATAGCGCTTAACGTAAAACCTCCGAGCTGGTAGAAGCGGACAATGCGTCGATGACGGAGGGCAACTGGTCACGTTTTACGCGGACATTCTTGGACATCTAGAGCAAAAAAAGAACTAACATTCTGTTTTTGAACAATCCGGCCAAAACATCAGGTTTTTGAGGCCAAAATCGGACATTTCGGGCGGACAACCCTTGGCAGGAGCTTCACGGGGCCTTTCCTCGCATACTGGATTAGTCGTGGTTAATGAGGAAGGCGTGGGTCCCGCCGAGGGCGTGATGTTCTAGATGGTGTTTTTGCATCTGTTTCTCTGTTTGTTTTCTCTGTTTGTTTTCGCTTTTGTGTCTTGGCGTTTGCGCATGCACTCCAAGTTCAGCCGTTGGTAATTTTAATTTTCGACTCGACCTTGGTTGAGTGGTATTTATATAGTACTACTACCAGTGACTGTGCATGCAGGCCATTTGGATCTGTGCATGGCAGCCCTCGTGGCATCCTCGCTCCCGCCCCTGTGGCTCAGCGGTTAGAGCATTCTCTGTGATTATACTTGCGTGATAGTGTATGAGGAAGGCGTGGGTTCGACTCCCGCCGAGGGCATACCCACTCGTGTTTGTCCACGTCTTTGTTTTTCTCTCGCTTTTGTGTCTTGGCGTTTGCGAATTTTTTGACTTGACCAAGGAAATTCATTCGTTGAGATTCAGGTTCAGAGTTCTATCTATCGTACACCCCGCTTCCACTTCCACACATCCTGTAAAACACCGAGTACGTACACCCAAACGAGGCCATTTCTCTGTGTGTGCGCACCCGTCACTGGAAACGGAGGGTCGTTTCCCTTTTTTCGTGTGTGGGTTGCTTTTCGACGTCACTAATTGTATTGCCAATGCGTTGGGGTCAAATGCCCTTGTAGCTCAGTGGTTAGAGCATCCTCTTGTTGTACACAGCTCATTATTAGGCTTCATGAGGACAGTGTGCATCAGCAATTTGACAAAAATCTTGTCCCCTTTTGGCCCTTGTGAGCTTGCCGGCAAGCTCGCAAGGTCAAAAGGGTGAAAAAATATACTTGGAAAATGCAAAGCAGGATTGGATGAGTGGCTTGAATATTAACAGACACCTAACTCTCCAGGTAAATAGATGGCTTGGTACGGTGATCAAACCCAAATGCAAAATAAATGCATCGTTTCTGGGTCAAACTGGCGACCTTGTGGAATCGACCTCTCACTTTGCGGTCTTACGGTCTTGCGGTCTTTTCGGCCTTTTTTGACCTTGTACAAGGACACAAGATTTTTGTCAAAAGTCTGATGTGGGTTCGACTCCCGCTGAGGGCATTGCTACTCCACATGTCACTTTTTACATCTGTTTCGCCGTTTCTCCGTTTGTTTCTGTTTTCTATTTCGTGTCTTGGGGGTTGCGCATGCACTTCAGGTGTTTGTAATTTTAATTTTCGGGTGTTCATGCCGCTAGGGACCAAGGTCGAGTCGTATTTATATAGTACTAGTACCAGTGACTGTGCATGCAGGCCACTTGGGTCCGTGCATGGAAGCCCTCGGTTGCATTGAGAATCACCGCCCTCGTAGCTCAGCGGTTAGAGCTTCCTCTTATTGTGAAAATAGCTCCCGTCATTCTTGAGGAAGGTGTGGGTTCGACTCCCGCTGAGGGTGTTCATTTCAACTAGCTGCTTTTTTCATCAGTGTGTTTTCGCCTTTGTGTCTTGTGTCTTGGCGTTTGTAATTTATCGACTTGACTAAATAGATTGTTCGTTCAGATTCAGATTCAGACTTCTATCTATTGTACACCGCTCTTCCACACCTCCCGTAAAACACCGAGTACCCAGACGCGCTCAGAACATGCTCCCCTCGGGCAGCTAGGGCAGCTTGCGGTTCGCGGGGGAGGCCATTTCCCTGTTTGTGGACAGTAAATAGGATAACTCGGGGCGGAAGGAAGGGGCCAGCACGCACTTGCGGATCTTGACCAAAACGTGCTCGAGGCTGCTTGTGCGCGTCCAGCAGGCGAGGACAGGGAGACACGCGGGGTCGACGGTGCCAGTCTGCGGGGAGACGAAGGGGAGGTTTACACGGGAGAGGAACTGCATGGCGGGGGCGGTGTTGGGGTAGTTTTCAGTGCAGGTGATCTTGAGGGAGTAGATGCGGTTCTTGTGCACGGTCTGCGTGTGGGTTGGGTTAGTCACCGCAGGTCGTAAAGGAAGGATGCAGCGCGGACATGGCCCGGGCCTATAATGGTGCCATTCCAGTTGCTCATCATGATGTCGTCCGAGTCTTCGGGGCTGTAGGAGCAGGAGCCGTCCCCGACGCCCTTTTCGCCCTTATTGAGGAGGCGGAAGTTGCGTGGGACTAGTGTTGCCGGTGTCGGGTTCAGAACCGATTCTGAACCTGAACCAAACCTGAACCAAACCTTTTTTGAGGTTCGGAAGTTGTGAGAAAAACCGGTCCGGACCGCGGGTCAGGTTCGGGGTTCGGGGAATCCCCGAATTTCGTGGACCTGTGCGAACCGGTTCGGACCCGTAAAATTTGCCTCGAATTTACTGATGAAAAAAACAAAAAAAACAAAAAAAAAAAGTCCAAGGATCACAACCCGCGCTTTGGCTGTAGTAATGTAACCGTGTAATTGCCAAATGGGGACATCACTGGCAGTTGATCGCGGCAACCCCGCGTCTGCCGCTGGACCTTCATGGCTTCGTTCAAACTCGTCTCACTTCCTTCCAAACTTCTCAAATTATTTTGGCCTCCTCCTGTGCAGCCTTGTTCAACTTCAACTTGATTACTGGACTTCGTTATATTCTGCAGTGTAATTGCCAAACTTTCCGTTGACTTTCCGAATCCCTACGCTGCACGGCGCATCATCCTGCTCCCTCAAGGCCGCCATTCCCTTCTCTTCCACATGTGAGGTGTCTTTAGGCCTTTGAGGCCGCTGCCACGTTCTAATGTGGCTTGGAATGGCTATAAGTAAGTCACGCAAAATGACTCCACACCGCAACTTGTGCGCTAAAATGGCGTATTTCTCATGAACCCGCTCGAGACTGCATCTTGTGGAGCAGGAGACCCCACGATAGAACCTAGGACAACATATTTCCACCTGGATAACTGCTGTACGGCGCGAAATGTGTTGTAAAAAATGTGTTGAAAAAAAAAGGTTCATTCGTGTTCGAACCTGCTCTGAACCTGAACCGAACCCATTGTGAACCCGAGCGATGTCCGGTTCGGGGTTCGGCATTTTTAGGCAAACCAAACCCCGGTCAGGTTCGGGGGTTCGGATTTTTGGGCTAAAAACCGGACCGAACCGGACATCGGCAACACCAGGAACAACGCGGAACATCAAAGAAGGCCCCCCGGCAGGACGGCGGACTCGTACTGCCACTAGCTGGCCCTAAAGCACAAGTGATCAGTGCAACGGTCGAATTGGCGGGCTGACTGTTTCTAATTGTTACCCTGATGTAGGAAGGTTAAATGTTTGGACCAAGGTGTTCCTCTAATCATCCTCGTGCGTCATCTCCTTCTCGTATTCAAGTCGATTAAATACATATGACAATGCTTCCTGAGGCCCAAAGTTCTAGAAATTCTTGGTGCCTCTGCTCGACTTCAGTATTCAGGTCCACCATTGCCGCGGTGAGAATTCTGCCAGAGCGCAGCTACAATTGACGATCCAGATGAGAGGTTATTATAATTATTCTGGTTGTGGATTCATTGAGCATCCGTTAAGCATCTCAGTCAGACCAAAACAATAATTTCATAATGAGCAAGTATGTACATACATATATAAATAAAAAAATACTTAGACACTGACAGTCCTCAATAGAATACCTTAGCAACAGAGTATATGTGGGTTTCAGAGTTTACCAATCGTTCAACATCATCCAATAACAGTTACAATTTCATCTCCTGTGGAGACGAAGTCTCCTCATCCCTATTCATGGCAGTACTGGGACTGCAAGTTGGGCCAAGGGCGTTTTATGACCCTGTTCCAGAGTCATAAGCCTCAGGTCAATTGCTGCAACATCTTTAGCCTGGAGCGAGCACTCAAACAGTGGTCGAGCTGAAGTCCATAAGTCTGCTGCTTTAGTGATTTCCCCTCTCTTCTGTGCAAGATCCCCAAGCCGTAACATAGCCTGAGCTCGACTACGGTGAACATCCATGAAAGTGAATCCCTCGAGAGCAACAATGAAGAGGCTCTCAGCTGTAGCTTCATCTGTATCAATGAATAGATCTCCGATGAAGAGCAATGCCTTGTAAAATGCAAGTTTCTCTCTGAACATGTGTGCATGGCATAAGTAAAGCACTGGCCATGTTGCCTGCCGAGGCTCAAGTGACCATCTTGAGACATCACCAAGTCTCTCCAGGCAGTATGACACCATCTCGGTGTCTGTGGCCCAAGCTAACTTGAGGTGATCCCGAAATTGAGTTTTTGCTGACGCTTCATTTCCCTCTCTCAAGTTGAGGTCCGCCAAAATTGCTGTGCAGGACATGGTGCCCAGCTGGTGTTTCATGCTAGTGAATATTTCTTGAGCTCGGTCCAAGCTGTGGTGTACAGTGTCAGTGGTGGCACCAATGAGTACACCAACCAGTGACAAATTTAGAAGTGCGAAGCCATAGGATGTAGAGTTTGGGTCAATAAGAGTGTCTTCCAATGCCATAGCATAAATACTGTTGGCCTCTGCATATTCAGATTTTTGCAGGTGAATCTCTGCTTGAGAATTCAGGATGCTATGATAAAGCTGACCACCGGTAATCCCACACATGTTGAGCAATTCTCTAGCCCTAATGAGCTGAGTAACAGCACCCATGTAGTCACCCAGAACGGTCAAAGATAGAGCAGTTATGTCCAATGCTGTGGAGACATGATAGAGATCTGTAGTTTGATAAGCCAATTGCTGTCCCTCTTTACTGATGGCCAAGGAACTTTTAAAGTCTCCAATCCGCCATTTAAAATAAGCCATACGTATCAGGGTCAGGTACTGTCCCTTACTATCCCCGATGGAGCTTGATAATGCCAGTGCTTTCTCCAGAAATTTCAAATGTTGGGAATTGGGTTGAGAACCGAGAAAAGCTGCACCTGCTGCTGCATAAAACATAGCTGATGATACATATCAGCAAAAATGTAAGGGATGATAAATGAGTCAACTTGCCCTCAAGTACTGGATCGTGAAGGTGTTGAAGGTGGGAAATGCCTTGTGCGATTGACGGTCCAATATCTACCTGCCGCCGGAGGTGCATACATTCAGTAATGTACAGTACATTCATTCGGTGGTCACATATGTGAGTTGGAATACTCTGCAACAAGTGTGTTTCACCATCTATGGTCATCCGAAAGAATGAGTTCAAAGAGAGAACACATTGTATTGTCTCAGAAAGATCAGGGGACCCTGGGTGTAATCCACGTTGCAGAACTTCCTCAAGGTTTGCAAGGTTGGCAGTTATCTGAGTAAGAACAATCCCCAGATGTGCACCATTGTGCTTCTGATACAAGGCCAGAAGGTGATGAAAAGACTCTCGAATGGCTTTTACCAGGGTTTCAGAGGGAGGGGAAAACTGCTGGATGTGCTCCCTTATAGGCCCAAGTGATCGCAGTCGGCTCTTGGTGTCCTTGTATGCCAATGAGGTTGCAATCAGTACAGATTTACATGCCTGGATGTTGCCAATGGGAAGGTTGCTTTCTGTAAGTTGTGCATCTGACAGTCCATTGGGGAGAATTGAGAGCAGACGAAGCAGCTCTCTAGCTCCAAGGGTTATACGTGGGCTGGAATATGACAGTGCAATTGATGCATCAAGATTGGAGGTCCTATGATGGCCTGTAGAAAGGGCGGCAGTCTTCTCCGCCTTCCAGCGAATTAAGACATTATCAATGCCTTCATAGTCCACCAAATGGGCCATGAGGTCAACTGCTAGAGGCATATTCTCTGTAAACGCCAGAAGTTGAGTCTTCTCCGTGCTGGCATGTGAATCATCAGTTATTTCTTCAAATACTTGCTGAGAAGCTTCATCCGATAATGGTTGCAGAGGATGCAGAAAGGGTGGTGTCCAGAGAACCTGGCCTGGTCGCTCTGAGCCCCTCATAGTGATCTGTTGCCCAGTCAACATCATAAGATGATGGATTTACAGAGGCATACCATGAGTGCAAGATGCTCCACATCAGCCAGCAAAGACAGAAAATCTTCCACCCCACCACGTGACTGTATGGGCTCCCATGGTGTTTCCAAATTGTCCAGAATTAGGAGACACAGCCCTGTCTGCCGTGCAAAGTATCGAACTACAGGTTTGGTAAGGTCTTTGTTGGGTTCCAGTCCAAGGTGGAGGCCAATTAGTGCAGCCAGCTCAACTGCTGTGGTTGCTGCTTCAGCGCTAACAAAGAACCTGTGCTCAAATTTGGCACAGGTGTCTGTGTGATGGAGAGCGGCCCTTGCAAGGGATGTTTTGCCCATCCCTCCTCCTCCTAGGATGGCGATCCTGGGTGCACCATGGGACAGGACTTCAATAATGTGCTGCAGTTCAGAGTCTCGACCATAGAAAATGTTGGGTTTTGAGGGCAGCAAGGAGAACGAGTTGGAGCTTCAGTTATGTCAGTTCAACTTTGGGAGTCATCAAGAAGAAAGTTATCCCACCTGAGTTGAGAACCACTGGCCTTCTTGTAAAACACCTAGTTAGAATTG